GAATTAGCCTCTCCTTCCCAAACATACTGCTTGTCTGATTTTGGGCTCTTAGTTGAGACTTCAACCTGTTTTCATAAATGAATAGTAATGAGCTTCATCAAAAATTTAAGACCAGTTAAAGTCATACGTAGTATATAAACAAAGATATACCCTTTCAGAAACAAGGAAAGCTGAATAGAATCCAACACCAAATTGCCCAATTAGGTTACTATCAGCTCCTGCATCCTTGCTATCCTATTAAAGAGTAAAAGTCTCCTTAGCAGTTAGTTAAGTGATCATAACAGATGATTGTACAATCAGCAAATGGTAATGTTCAAGGGTACCTTCAAAGCTTTCAAAAACTTTGCTGTTCCACTTTGAGCTATAGTACCAAGGCAGTCAACAATTTCCTGACGAGTCATACCAATTCCGGAGTCTCTGTATACAACATATACAGTGATGACTTCCTACAGTGCAAAAGCAGACAAATTGAAATATAGTATGAAATGAGAGTTAAGATTACGTGATTGTAATTATGCCATTCTCTTTATCAGTCTGTATACGAATATCAAGATCAACTCCATCCTTTAAAAGCTCGGGCTCTGTAACACCAAGAAACCTTAGCTTATCCAGAGCATCACTTGCGTTGCTGCATTGATACAGTAATTGTTACAATTTCTTCTACTTGCAGCAAATTTTTATAAACTGTAGTGCTATTCCTTTCATATCAAAACAACCATTTCATGGAACTTTATGAAAACTAACACTAGCAAGTTGCAAAACACTATTTCCCTAAGTGCATCACTAGGAAGCTTTACTGTCTACATTTCAGCTAGAAAAAAATAAGATAAGATAAATAAAATAATAGACACGTGAGGTTGATTCAAGATGAAGATTAAATCTAGGACAATCTCGTAATATTTCTCCCCTGACCATCTCTTAATTATTTTACACAAAGAGGAAGCATAGCTCAAACAAATGAAAACTATGGAATGCATAACGTTCAGTAATTAATCAACATTAAAGAGGAAAGCCCCTCATTTTAATGATACAATATTTATTTTTTATTAAAAACTATCACATTAGGCATCTCATGTGCACGAAAGCCTATAACTACAATTACTTCTTTAGGACAAAAAATGGACTAATAGGGTCAGCACATACCCAAAATGCTGCTTTCCTTTTAAAAAGTTGATACTACAGAAAGATTTTAAAAATCTAGAGACGAATAGAACAATGTTATGGAGGACAAGGCATGCCTGATTAGCTCCCGGAGAAACACTTCTTTGTTGCTGTACAAGCTGTTAACAATTAAATCCATCAGACGGCTAACCTGCCACAATAGAGGGAAAAAGAAGCTCATGTTATTCTCAACATTTCTGCCATCTTTCCTGCACTTTGAATGTTTTTTCGGTGGTGCTAACCTCTGCCTGATACTCATACTTCTCAGTCACTGCTCCTGATGTATCAGATGCAGCAGATGTTGATTCATGCCTGCTTCCAAAAAGCATTGATGCACTTGCATTGTATGGACTAAGTGTTCTTGTGCTACTGTGTCTTTCCAAAGCTAAGGCTGAATAACATCTGCTTGTGGGACCATTCTCACCAACCTATTCATCACTAGAAAAATTATGCAAGGGCCAACAATAGATAACATGGCAGAAGAAACTATAAACTAAATTCAGACAGGATAACTCAATGTCAGTAACGTTGCTATTTGACTGTGAAATGGCACCTGACATATACTGGAATAGGCCTAATTTTTCGTTGGGAGAATTAAGCAGAGGGTGCAAACAATAAAATAACACAATTGAAGATTCAATTAACCTTCTAACTGCATCATCAGATCAAAACTATTCAATTTTTGTTGAAATCCAATCATATGCTCATCAATTTCCCAAAAAGTATTCCAGTTTCCGAACAAGCAGGTGCATTCATGCCAAAATCCAATACCTTTGAGATAATTCTGCCCAAATTTCCATCCATTTCACATCAATATCCCGATTACACTCAAAACACACACACACACACACACAATTATACGATTCATTTAGTTTCCATCAGTTCAGTATCACTTTCGCCCATTTCCAAAAAAACCCTCAGTTTTCCATTAAACCAAAATAAAAGAGCTACCAAACAAAAAATCAAAGTACAGAATACTAGCCGATAAATGATACCAGCTGATTGAGGAGGCGGGCTGATGAATTCAGAGCGGCGGCATTCCGTTGACGCGAGGCACCAGCGCGCAGCACGGCGGAGAGAGATCGCCTAGAGAGCCTGTGCATGATTTTGTTTTGCTTGAAGCAGAGATTGATGAAGCTTTGCAGGGAAGAGACTGCGATCGGGAAAATGCGCCTATGAAGCAGTTAAGTAATGGTAGAGTAGGGTTTATGATGGGGTTTAAAGAAGCTTCTGGAGATTGGGCAGTCTGTAATTTCAATGGTTGACGGATTCTTTATGCCGTCATTTGACGGCTTATGGATGGGTACGGTCCGGTTTGATTGTGGCATTTGTGGGCAATTAGGGGTAGACCCGGTACCGGTTCTGTACCGTTATCAGAGACGGTATCGCCGGTACCCGTACTGTTACTGCCCGCCACCACGGTTCCAGGGAACAGGTACTGGCACCGCCACCCACGATACCGGTTCCAGTACCAAATTTTTTGGTACCGACACTGGCGGTACCGGTACCAGTTCCCGTACCGAAATTATTATTATCTTTTTGATTGGCTTCCTCCACTCCTCTCCACTAACTGCTAAAGTTGCGGCCCACCTGCAAAAAAAAAAGAAACACAACATGTTTTCGTGAAAGTTTAGATGATCCAGATTTGTACCTCTATGTCTCTCCTATGAAAGATAAATGGTGTGCTTATTTTTTATACATTACTAATATTTATAAAATAGTTATTATTTGTGATCCTCGCTTTAAGATTGAAAATTTTAAAATTCTAATTGACTATTACTACACTTGTTTTTTAGATGAAAATAATTATTACTACAGCCATTTAATAAAATGCGCAAAAGATAGGGATAATGCTAGTACTTTTTTTGAGGCTTTATTTAAGGAATTTCAAGGGATATACGGTAATGTACAAGAAGAAACAGCACCCCCCCCAATCAAAAAAAGGTTTTAAAGGAATAGTCGGTGGGCTTCTTGCAAAAAAAGAGAAGCGTGGTCAGCCTTCGACGAGTTCAGGTGATACAACTGTAAGCTCACACAACAAACTTGCTATGTACCAAGGGGTGCCATGCGATTACGACGACGACAACGTTGAGTTTGACGTCCTCGGATGGTGGAAGCGGAACGAACACATGTCCCCATGTCTTGAAATGCTAGCAAGACAAGTTTTATCCGTCCCGGTATCAATCGTAGCAGTGGAACAAGAATTCAGTGCTGGCGACAATATTCTAACCTACTACCGACGTTGTCTTAGCGATGAATCTCTTGAAAAACTTGTTTGCAATCGAGATTGGCTCTTGGCAAGACGTCAAGCTCAAGAGTCAGGGTACGAATTCAATTCCGAACATTACATGAATGCAACTACAGATGGAAACCCTAGTTATGAGGAATAAGTTATAAACTTTTTTTATATTAACGTAAATATGTAATTTGTGTTATGAAATTAATGATTGTTCATTTATTCAATTAATCAGGCCTACTTTCTAGAATAGTATATTAAGATACTAATTGATGAATACTAATTTTGTACAGTCCTTCCCACTTGTATTTGTATTCATACCAAGCCTCTCCACTATAAATAGAGGCTAATCCCTGCATTGTAATCACCATGAAGAATAAGAAGAAGTGTGAATAATTAATAGAGAGAAGAAATCAGAAATATATTATATCTATTCTCTTAATCTCTGAGTAGTTTTTCTCTCATTTTACAACACATTATCAGCACGAGTTTGCTCAAAATCCTGTTCTTCTCAGAGGTATATATTTTTTAGATTTTACATAGAAATAAAAAATTTTCTTAAAAATTATGATAAGTATGCTCTGTGATTGCCCAAAGTATGAATCCTTCACATCAGAAACTTATAGTTATAAAAATAAAATTAGATAAATTAAAAAAGGATTAAGTTTCCTCATAATCGCAGAAAATCATATTTTTTGAAGAAAAAAAATTTAATATGGAGTAGCTAAGATTAAAAAAATTTAATTATATCTTTTAAACTATTCTTGAAAAATAAGAGAAAAACTATTGAAATCAAGATATAATGAACTTACCTTTCTGCTACTCTTGAATTCTTCTTGTACACGTTGATGGTGTAAATTACCACGTAAATGCAAAGTATAAGTAATCGAAAGGGCTGTAGGTGGAAACACCTGTAACCCGGTTTGTTATTGATGATAATACTAAGACTATTACAAAGTACAAGCCGTGTAGATTAATTAAAACATACCTCACAAATGAGGATTTTAAGGGTATTTATAACAAAACTAAGCACGTCAAGCATGTCTCTGGTTATCCAACCAGTCAGCCTTCTGACCGGTCCCATAAGAGTACTTGGAGAACGTTTCTATAGTTGCAGGTATTTAGTCCACCCAGCCTACCGGCCTCACAACCCGGTCTGAGAAGGATGCGCTCTGTCACTTCGATCACCACCCAGTCGGACGAACCAACCGGGTGGTATCCATGGGTTATTACCCATCAAGGAGTCCTCCGATTCCCGGTCCTGTGGGGACCATCAGGGGCGGGAAGCATATGCGATCCTCTCCTGAAATTTGAACTGCCCAGTCACCTTTTGGCGGGAAAATCAACTCGGAAAACCAGCGCCAACCCGAAATATTTAAGATTTGAAATTTGAATTTTGAATTTTCAAAATCCGGGCGTCCAAATCGAGAGAATCTTCTCGAAGTCGGGTACAGAGCCGCCGATTTAATGTGCCGTTTCGTCTCCCCGAGAGGTTATGATGGCAAATCATTTCAGCTGCCACGTGTCATTTCTTCATTCGCCCGTCTAGGCGGCATCTCTCCTATATAAAGCGTCGTTCTCCTTGGAATTTCCTCACTTGCAAATCTTCAATTCAAAAAACTGCCCGGCTGCTTCTACTATTTCCGAGTCCTCCGAGTCTTCTAATCGTCTTCAAGTAAGTCTCTTTCATTCCTCTTCTGAGTCATGTCAGACCGTGAGGATAGCCAGAACCTCTCCGTTCACTCTTATGGTTCTGGCGGCCGGTCTCCCACCTTTGGTTCCTCCTCTTCTTCTTCATCCTCTGACTCTGAGCACCCGGCTACTTCTCCACAGAAGAAGCCGGTTGATGCTTCCACTTGCGCTCCCTCTTCTTCCGCGGCGCAAGTGGTCTCGGTTGCCCAGTCCGGGGACGAGGGCTTTATTCAGCTAGACGACCGGTTGCTCCAAGAGCAACCGTCGTATATGCAGAAGCCCCAAGTCCACGAACTGCGTAATCTGATGCCCGATGGGTATCAATTGACCTACCGGGCAATGTGGAAGAGTATTATACCTCTCCACGCCGGCACGTCGATTGGTATCCATTACCATTCGATCAAGGACTTGGGTGAGTTCTCTATTCACCCATTCAAAGTCCTTTTCCTTGAGACCTACGGGATCATGCCCGGGCAGCTGGCCCCTAATGGTCACCGTTTGTTAGGGAGCTTCATCAATGTCTGTCGGTTTCTTCGTATCCCCCTCTCTCTTCGTCTCTTCGACTATATGTTCGATGTTCGGCCCAGGTCCAAGGAAACCCTTGGATTCGTGGTGGTGTCTTCCCACCAAGGCCGGGCATTCCTTTGTGGCCTTCCACCCTCTAACAAGAAGTGGAAGGACAAATATGTCTGTGTCAAATTCCCCCCGGTTGCCTTTCCTTTTGCCCAAAACGTCTGGGGGAAAAGAATGAAGCGCCAGGTCAAACCAGCGGAGGCCGATGACCTGGTTGCTTGGGAAGCCACTCTCCGGGCCGAGGACGCCTCCACCCGCGGTCTGTACCACGTCGGGAAATGGAGCGTCTACCCCGGCCGGGAGACCGACCCCGAACCGGAGATTGTTCTGCCCGGGGTGATCCCCGAAGCCATCCCCATCCGTCAGGCGAGGGGATCCAAAGCCCCGGCCACTACCAATGCCGGTCCTTCACGCCCGGCGAAGAAGAAGAAGGAGAAAGGTCAATCAACCGCCCTTCTCATTTTTCATTTGAATTAATTTGTTCTCAACTTCATTCTTCTAACCGGTTCCTTTTTGGTTTCTGTGGTGAAGTTTCAGTCCAAGTTTGCCGTCCCCTAGATTGTGGCTAAGGAGCCCTCCTCTGCTCAGCCACTCACCCCTCCATCCAGCCAGCCGTTCCTGCTGGACGACCAGCCGGCTCGATCCCACCAAGGAACCAGCCAGCCGATTCACTCGGGGGAGATCTACATCAATGTAGACACCTTCGAGTTCGACAACTTGATGGGGGAGACCGGCCATACTTCCCAGGCCGGCCAGCAGGTTCAGCCCAATGAGGAAGGAGAACCCGAGGAAGAGACAGCTGGGGAGTCTCTTCAACGGAAGAGGCGGAAGACTGAGGAAGTCAACCAGCCTTCCCATCAGGGGCCCAGTCCTCCGACGCTGGCAAGGGGCCAATCGTGCCTCGTTCCCTGGCTTTGATGTCTAGGTCAAACGAGGAGCTCTTCCGAGCGTTCCGAGCCGATCTGAATGAGGTAACGCCCTTTTCTCCCCTACCGCCATCTTATCGTTTTTATACCTTTCTGAGAAGTTTTCCATGTCTTTAAAGCAGGTCGGCCGGATCGGGGAGGAGTACTTCGCCCGACTGGTGAAGTCAATGGATGAGGAGAAGGCCCGGATGGAGGCCATGATGGTCGAATGCCGGAAGGAAGCCCAGGCTGCCCGGGTCAAGGCAGAGAAGATCGAGGCCAAATGCACAGAGCACTGTCTGGTCTACCGCGAGCTCTACGCCAAGCACGATGGTCTTCTCAAGGCCGCAAAAGAGGCCGATGCGCAGGCTCAGGCTAAGATCCAACAGCTGGAGGCCGAAAACACCCGGGCTATCGAGGAGAACCAAAGGCTAGGGGATGAGAATGCCCGGTCTGCTGAGGAGATCGCTCGGCTGGGGGATGAGCTGGCAAAAGAGCAATCGGAGCGTGCCGCCGTTGCCGCAGCCTGGGCTACCCAAGCGCCTGAGGAGTTTGCCGCCAAGGCGTTACCTGACCGGGAGACGGCCATCCGCTTCTTCCAAGGCTTGTACAAGTACGAGGTCTCGGCCGGGATTGTCAATGAGATCGGGACCTACGGCTTTGAAAGCGGCCAGTACTCGGAGCGGAAGGCCCTCTACGGCATCCTTCAGCAGAGGATCCAAGGTTTTCAGCCGAAGGCTCTTTCTCTGCCCGAGCTGCATAGCGAGGCGCCTGAACCTCCCTTCCCGGGCATTTGATCCGTCCGGCCTTCCTTTCTCATCTGATTTTCTCTCTTTTCTTTTTTTTATGATGTAATGATCTGCCTCCGGGCACTTTTATAAGACATTGAATTATTAATGAAAATATGTTTTATGTTATGTGCTGAGTGCTTTTTCCATACCTCACTAATTCTTTTAACTTAGATTCTTTAACCGTTTAGATTAGTAAATAACAGCCCGGCTGTATTTACCCGGCTTAGAATACAAATTTACCCAAGTCTTTTCGAAAGGCTGGATAGCCGGCCGGGAAGACTTTAAGTTTTATAAACTTCCTCCCGGTTCGGTATACCCCTCGATGGCGTATTGACTTGTCCTTTTCGAAAGGTTAATCATTTGCCCGGGCTCTTATAAGGCCGGCCTGTTTCCACAATGGCTTAACGCCCTTGTGGAAAGGTAAACCTTAAGTTTTTCTTCAGAACGTCTGGCTTAAACTAGCCGGGATGCTCTCCCTCTAGTTAAGTCAGATCGTTTTTAACTCCCGTGTCAGTACGGATGAGGTGTTAGATCGGTCAGACCGGTTTTTTTTGTTTGAAATGTCCAATTCGATTGGACATCTAACCGGGTAAATTGGTACGCGACGAATTACCGGTTAATGTATGAGAACAATCTTTCTGAAAAGAACGAACTTTTATTAATGGCCGGGAACCCATTACACTTTATCTATAAAATTTACGCAAGTGGTGAGAGTTCCAATGTCGCTCGACCCGGCCGCCTTCCATTGTCTCCAACTGGTAAGTGCCCGGTCTGACGACTGCTTTTACGCGATAGGGCCCTTCCCAGTTACGTACCAGCTTACCCCTCTCATTAGGCTTACTAGCATCCCTTCTGCGCAAGACTTCATCATGCACTTGGAAGTATCGCGGTCCTACCCGGTTGTCATGATACCGCTTCACTGACTGCTGGTAACCGGCCATCTTGACAGCTGCTATGGTCCTTCGTTCTTCCACCAGATTTAGTTCAGCCAGGTGGTCGACCTCATTCTGACCGGGCTGGTATACGGTTTCCCTAAATGTTGGAATTTCTACCTCTACCGGTAACCGGGCTTCACATCCTAAGTGAGCACGAAAGGAGTCTCTCCAGTTGCTCTTCTCGAAATCACTATGTGCGCCCAGACCGTGTGAGGCAAGGCTTCTAACCACTTGTGTCCTTCCTCACCCAGCCTCTTTTTTAAACCGTCCACTATTGTCCGGTTAGCATTTTCGACTTGGCCATTTCCTTGTGGATATGCTACCGAAGCCTTGCTGTGCTTGACCCCGAAGCTAGCAAGGTACGCAGTGAACCGGGGGTTGCGAAACTGTGGACCGTTGTCGGTAACAATAATTCGTGGGGCACCAAACCTGGTGATAATGTTTTTCCAAACAAATTTCTCACATTGCCGTACCGTTATGGTGGTCATCGCCTCAGCATCGATCCATTTAGTGAAGTAATCAATAGCCACCATCACGAACTTCTTTCCGCCTTGGGCAACCGGGAAGGCTCCAATAATGTCAATCCCCCACCGGGAAAATGGTATGACATTAGAGGTAGGTTGGTAATAAGTGGCCGGTCTGCCGGGATGTTTGTAAAAAACCTGGCACGTTCTACATCTCTGGACATACCTTTCACAATCCCCAACAATGGTCGGCCAGTAGTAGCCTAGTAGGATTATCCTTTGAGCCAAAGTGCGGGACATTTGATGGGCTGCACAAACTCCCTCATGCACCTCAGCTATTACCCGTTCAGCCTCCGGATTGGTCAAGCAACGCAAGAGTGGTCCGCCAATGGCACGTTTGTATAGATGACCATCGATTACCTGGAAACGTGGAGCCCGTAGGACCACTTTCCTGGCTCGCTCCTCGTCATCTGGCTTCTGACCGGTCTCCAGATACTCCATGAGTTCATACCTCCAGTCATCATCTGCCCCAATTATCCCGGTCGCTGAAGTCTGGCCCGGTTGGATGGCCGCGACTTCAAACCGGTCTGTACTTGGCGTGTCCAGTATCTTAATTTTTGCCAATTTTGACACATGCTCCGGGCAAGCTTGCGTTAATTTTGAAAGCATATCTGCATCAGCGTTCTCCGACCGGGGTATTCTAGTCAGACGAAATTCTTCTAATTCCCTTAGGAGTGCCCGGACCAGATCACCATACCGGGCCAGGCGATCTTCTTTTACTTCCATCTCACCATTGACTTGTCCAACCACTAGACTTGAGTCGGAACGGATCTTCATCCTCTTTATTCCGAGTGCCCGGGCTAATCTGAGGCCACCGGTCAGCGCCTCATACTCCGCCTCATTGTTGGTGAGCTTGAAGTTGAAGACCAGGGCATGGTAGATCTTGAATCCTTCCGGGGTAGTGAAGACTACGCCGGCCCCGCATCCCTTCGGTCCAGAGGCCCCATCAACGGCCATATCCCACCACGGTTTGACCGTATGGGAAGGTCCGGCTTCGGGCTCTAGACCGGTCAGTTCAACGAGGAAGTCTGCCAAAGCTTGACCCTTGATTGCAGTACTTGGTTTATATTCTATTTTGAACTGAGTGAGCATCATTGCCCACTTGATCAACCTTCCCGAGGAGGTCGAATTTCGAAGGACCGGTCCAAGTGGCTGATCGGTCAGTACTTCCACAGTGTGAGCTTGGAAGTATGCGGTCAGTTTTTTGGCCGTTATGAAAAGCGCGTATGCCGTTTTCTCAATGGCAGTGTACCGGCTTTCAGCCCCATTTAGTGCTTTGCTCACATAGTAAATAGGCCTCTGGCCGTCTTCATTTCTTATCAAAACAGAGCTTACATCGTTTTGGGAAATTCCCAGATACAAGTACAAAGTCTCACCCAGTTTGGGTTTCGACAAAACAATATCAGAGACTAAGTACTCCTTCAGCTGCTGGAAAGCTTCCTCGCACTCCTGGTCCCACTCGAATGTGTTGGCCTTCTTTAACACCTTGAAGAAAGGCAGAGCCCTTTCAGCAGACCGGGAGAGAAAACAGCTCAAGGCTGCCAGCCGCCCGGTAAGTCGTTGTACGTCCTTCAGCGAACTGGGCGACCTCATTTCAATTATGGCCTTGATCTTCTCTGGGTTTGGCTCAATACCACGCTTGGTCACCATGAACCCCAGAAACTTACCGGTCTTTACAGCGAAGACGCATTTCTTGGGGTTGAGACGCAAGTTGTACTTTGCCATAATCTCGAAGCAAAGCCTCATGTCGGCCGGGTGGTTCTCCGAACCCGGACTCTTGATCAGCATGTCATCCACATAGGCCTCCATGGATTTACCGAGGAGTGGCTTAAAAAGCCGATTCACCATCCTCTGGTAAGTGGCGCCCAAGTTTTTTAGCCCAAAGGCCATTACCCGGTAGCAATAAGTACCTTCAGGTGTTAAGAATGAAGTCTTCTCCTCGTCCTCCTTGGCCATGAAGATCTGATGATAGCCTTTGAAGGCATCCATGAAGCTCAGCAACTCACACCCGGCCGTCTCATCGACCATCTGATCGGGACTGGGCAGCGGGTATGAATCCATTGGGCACGCCTTGTTCAGATCTGTATAGTCCACACACATGCGCCAGGTGTCGCCTTTTGGAGCCAAGACAATGTTTGCTAACCAGGCTGGGTACTGTACTTCCCGTATGTGCCCGACCGCCAACAAATCCTTCACCTCTTTTTTCACAAAGTCCCTCCAGACGTTCGCCAAGTGCCTTTTCTTTTGTTTCACAGGCCGGCTCCCTTCCATCACAGCCAAACGATGGCATATGACAGAACGGTCAATGCCCGGCATGTCCGCTACACTCCAAGCGAAAATATCTGCATACTCCCGAAGGACTGAGATGATTTCTTCTCGAAGTCCTCCAGGCAGGTCCCTGCCTATTCGCACCATCCTTTCCGGGAAGGCTTCCCGGAGAACGATCTGCTCGGTCTCATCACCTGGTTCCAGCTTTGACCGGTCTTCTTCTTGAGAGACCAAAGTAATTCTCTCAAAGGCCTTTGTCATTTTCTTCACAGCTTCCAAATAGCAATGTCGGGCCTTCTTTTGATCTCCTCTGACTTGTCCTATACCGCCCGGGGTATAAAACTTCATACAGAGATGGGCCATGGAAATGACCCCACAGACCTTGTTTATTCCAGGCCGCCCCAAAATGGCATTGTGAACACATTTGATGTTCACAACTACAAACCTCATTTGCTTTTGGACGATCTAGTCGCCTGTGCCCAGCTCACAAGTTAGAAGAATCGACCCTTCAGCTTCGACTGAGTCCCCGGTAAACCCAGACAGGGGAGTCTTTAGGGGCTCAAGCCGTGTTCGACACAGCTTGAGCTTCTCAAATGCATCCAGGTACAACACGTTAACACTACTACCTGTGTCAACGAGCACCCGGGAGACATCAACTCCACCCATGTCCATAGTTATCACCAGGGGGTCATTGTGATCTTCTCCTGTGGCGGGAAGGTCCCGGTCAGTAAAAGTGATTGGTTCCCGTCTCGCTTGTTTCGACCGGGGATTTAGGGCCACCGTACCAACGTAGAGTTCTCGCCCCCATTTCTTTCTTTGGGAGGCAGAATCTCCTCCTTCCGGTCCGCCGTAGATGACCTGTAAATGCTCCTTGCCGGCTGCTTTCTTCTTCTTGTTCTGTTCGGCCGGCTGTCCTTCAGGCCTAACCCATTGGTTCTTCTTTGGTTTGGCCTGAGCTAGGTACTCAGGATCGATCTCCCCGGCCTCAATCATTTGTTTGATTACTCCCTTCACACTATTGCATTCCGCAGTGTTATGGGAATCGGTTTTGTGGAAAGAGCAATACTTCTCCGTCCATTATTTTTCGCCGGTCGGTTTCTTCTCTGATTTGACCGGCTTTACCTCCATGACTTCCGCCTTCACCCTACCGGGCAGTTCAATTTCCTTTTTCAAAGAAATTTTCCCTTTGGAATGGCCCTGCTCGGCCTCCCTTTTGGACGACACCTGTGCTTCGGCGTCAGCATAATCCCAGGCTGTGTTGTAGGCCTCCTGCAGAATTCCTTGTACAATTCTCCGGACCGGAGCCCGGACACAAGGAGGGACATGGCTGTTTTGTCGTCCATCTCCTCCACCATATCAACCTCATCCTTCCACCGGGTAAGGAATTTTGTCAGATCCTCGTGCTCTCGCTGCCTGGCTGTAGTCAAGTAGGTAAACTTTTTCCTCTTGGTACAATTTTCTTTGAACTTTTCTTGAAACACCTCAACCAGTTCATCGAAAGAATCGATTTCACCGGCCGGTAAGTTATGAAACCACTCGGCGGCGCGGCCGCGGAGGGTTTCGAAGAAAAGCAGACATTTCTCATCCCCGGAAAGACCCATCATCCGTCCGCTTTGATGGAGGGTTTTGACGTGAATTTCCGGGTCCTCCTTCCCGGTGAACTTCGAGACTTCAAGTTTCGCCTTCTTTGGAAATGGGGTTTCATGAACCCGATCTGTGAACGGGGATTCGTTCAACGGGATTTTCTTCTTTTCCTCCCGGTCTACCCGGCGCTGTAGCTTTTCCAGTCGTGCCTCAACCCGGCCCACACGATCCCGTGGCTCAACAAGGGTACGAGTCGTGTGTCTAGGGTGGCTTTCTGCTTCCTCCTCTCGTGGTGCCCGGCTGTGCTGGGGTTCATCTCTAGGGAGTGGTTCCGTTCGCCTGGTCTGACCAGGTCGTCCGGCTCGTCCTCCTACACGATTAAGGGCACTAGCCGGGACGGTCTCCACCCCCAACCGCTCCTTTGCTGACCGGTTTTGATTTCGGCCATCGTGTCCCAGCCTTTGAAAGGCCGACCTCCTAGATCCTTCTGGTTGAACAACTTTTCCCTTCAATTTTTTGAGCGCTTGGGGGACATCCCAATCCTCGTCTTTGCTGTGGACTGAACGCACATTCCCATCCGAGGTCACCTTTGTCTGCGACCTGCGGGACCGGCTCCTCCTGGATCGGGACGGGCCTGCTTTGTCCATCTCCCCGATTAGGTTTGTCGGGACGACCGGGCGAATGATGTTAGTTTGAGGCGAGGATTGTGGGTACAATCCTGGAATAAAAGGTGAAAATCCTCCCGGATGCTGAAACATGGACATGAAATGTCCAAAACTCTGAAGGGCTTGGCTGTACATTGGATCAAGGGGTCCGGGGAAATTTGAAGGAAAAACAGGCACGGGGTTCATGGGGGAAGTGAATGGGGTAGGTGGTGGAATGGTGATAATGGGGGTAGGAATCTGGCTTGACGGTTGGGTACTTCCTCCCAGGAACGAAGTGACGTTCTCAGCGGGAGTAGAAATTTGTGAGATCACAGTTTCCTGGTTGCTTGTCATGACTTTTGTAATGGGTCCCACGGGTGGCGCCAATTTGATGGTGTAAATTACCACGTAAATGCAAAGTATAAGTAATCGGAAGGGCTGTAGGTGGAAACACCTGTAACCCGGTTTGTTATTGATGATAATACTAAGACTATTACAAAGTACAAGCCGTGTAGATTAATTAAAACATACCTCACAAATGAGGATTTTAAGGGTATTTATAACAAAACTAAGCACGTCAAGCATGTCTCTGGTTATCCAACCGGTCAGCCTTCTGACCGGTCCCATAAGAGTACTTGGAGAACGTTTCTATAGTTGCAGGTATTTAGTCCACCCAGCCTACCGGCCTCACAACCCGGTCTGAGAAGGATGCGCTCTGTCACTTCGATCACCACACCCAGTCGGACGAACCAACCGGGTGGTATCCATGGGTTATTACCCATCACATGTTTTTGATAGAAATATATAATCTCACCTTTATAATTTTTTCTTTCATCCTTTGCTCAGCATATTTTTTTCCTGGTTTGGAAAGTAAAGATGATATAGGATGAATCCTAATGAATAGTATTCAGAGTATATTTGTAAGAGGAGAGAGTATATAAATCGGATGGTGTATTGTTTAATTGTAGAGAGAAATAAAAGGCAAATAATATAAGGATAACATTAAGTACATATAATTGGGACTAGCCAGCAACTCCATATTCAATATGGAATCTTTTTCGTCCTATTATGAATGTATATATCACATGTACTTAATGAGACATCATATACTCTATATCTTTTATTTATAAATAATAAACAATAACATAAATTACTGATTTGTTTGTTTGTTTTCTAGCATATAGAGTTTTTTTTAAAATTCCATTTTATCTTACTTTGGTGTCTATGGTCTGCTAATGTGGTCATGTCATGGGATTTTTTTTAAGTGTACGTATTTTATTTATCTAGGATGCTCCATAATTATTACAAAACATGTTTTTTTTGATTCTTTGATTTTTATTCTATAGTAATATTTAATTAAAAAAACATTACTCGATAATAAATTTAAATTCATTGTTTTGTACAGAGTATTTTATTCCATGGCCAGTATCACCAAAAGAGAATTCGACATTCTTGATTTATCCGGTCAAAGGTACCTGGAATGGAGGATTGATTCACTTGCTCACCTTAAGGCTAATGGCCTTGAAAATACAATTGCTAAAAATAATATATCATCATCTCAGCAAAAGGCAAAAGCCATAGTTTTCCTTCACTACCACCTTCATGAAAGTTTAAAATCTGAATATTTACTGGTGGAAGATCCGAAGGAATTATGGGATAAACTCCAAGAGAGATATGGACATCAACAAAAGGTCCTACTATCAAGAGCTCAATATGAATGGATCAATTTAAGATTCCAAGATTTTAAGTCCGTTTGTGACTATAATTCTGCTATTTTCAAAGTCACGTCCACATTAAAATTATGTGGACATAATATCACTGATCATGACATGTTGGAGAAAACTTTTTCCACCATGCATATGTCAAATGTGATAATACGCAACAATACAGAGAAAGGGACTTTAAAAAGTATTCTAAGTTAATCTCAGTATTACTTATTGCTGAGCAGAATAATGAGCTCTTAATGAAAAATCATAACATGAGGCTTACTGGTTGTACCCCTACAAATTTTGGTCATCCTGATCGTGGTTCAGCACCGGAATCAAATGTTATCCAAGGTGATGCACGTGGACACTTTAAACTAATCACAACAAAGGGCCGAATAGGGGCTATAAATATCCAAATGGATCATCCTCCAAGGGAAAAGGGAAATTCAAACCAACACAAGCTAAAACTCATGAAAAGCCAAAACCAAGTGGTGAATGCTATGAATGTGGCATAAAAGGACATTGGGCTAATGAATGTCGAACGGCAAAACACTTGGTCAAATTATACCAAGCTTCCACAAAAGGAAAAAGAAAAAATGTGGATGCTAATTATGTTGATGATATCAATCCAATTTTGCCTAAATTTGATGTGTAATATGTTGGAAATTTTAGATAAATTGGACATTTCAGACATAAATTCGGTAGGGTCCACAAAATTATTTTCTGAAATAATTATGGACGTTTAATCTCGTAAGCAAGACAAATGTCTTGACATATCACACGCCATAAACGGTGCTCGGGTGAATGAGAAATTATTTCTCAAAGTTGAATATGAGGGAAGAGTAAAAACCCTTGTCTCACACCGGGTTTTGAACATTTCGTATTCTCATATTTAAGCTTAGGCATTTAATTGAGCTTATGAAATGAACAAGAAGAGGACTCCTCGTGTGCCGCCACCGCCGTCCTTCCTGCTCGGCACATCACGACACGACACGCGCGCGCGCGTCGGGTCGGGTCGGGGCGTGGCGTGGCGAGGCGAGGCGAGGAAGAGAACACACACTCGAAAAATCTCTCTCTGCGTAACTTAAAGCTTTCCGACTAATCCCCGTTTCCGATCATCTTCTCTGGAGATAACTTCCCGTCGTTCTCGTTTTCCGGTGCATCGTTCTACCGCTCTAGACTTTGCACGCTACGGTTTTATCCTGGGAGGAGATTGCCCACGTTTGCCAGTGCGGGAGGCAGGCAATACTACCTTAAGGAAAGCTCCAACGACTCTGCTTTCCTAACCTATATTTCCAGAAACTGCTCCGGAGACTCGCAGCTCTACGTCCAACGCTTCTACGCTGTTGCTGCTCATGCTCTTCCTCTGCCCGTTCGTGTTCCAATTCTGTCCGTTCAGCTCTTCCCGGTATCCATTCCTGTTCGAGTTTCTGAAGACTCCATTTTTCTTTCTCTTATTTTTCGTTGTAAAATCCGAATGTTTTATAAGTTCGGATTATTTTATTTTTATTATTCCCGCTGTAATGTTCAACAATCTTAAGGTAGTATTGCCCGTTCGGATTCGGCATCGCGGGTTTCTCCGGCAACAGTTCTGAAGTCCCGATAGAAACCTCTTCAGTTGCCTTGGTTGTGTTGTCCTCACCCCTGCCCTTTGGGTCAAGTGTGGGGGCCGCCACCATGACATCATTCTCGATGCGGAGCCCGATCTTTGGGTCGGCTCATCGACCTATTCCCGGGCTCGAAACCACGGGGAGTCACCCCAGCGGTAATTCGAACACGTTCCTCATTGGGCGTCCAACGGGCCTTTCATCCAAACGCCTAATGCAGTTGGGCCGATTTCAGTGCCCGCTAGTACGGTCCAAAGGCCACCGAAGTTCAATGGCACGAACTTCAAGATGTGGCAACAAAAGATGACGTTCTTCTTGACCGTCTTGGGATTTGCTGAGTACCTGCAGCAAGATCCTTCCCAGGTGAATGACGGGAACGACCCCCTTATGGCGTTGGTGAACCAAGCATGGTACCACAATAAATATATCACCATCAACTACGAATCAACTGCAGAAAAAATAAATGATACAAGATTTAATGTGGTTCGATCGCTGACTGTAACCTACGTCCACACGGGGCAACTAGGAGGATTTTATTACTTTGTACACTGAATACAAGCACATTAACATCTCTTAAATAGAGATTAATTAAGAGAGCACAATGATTAGGGAAGTTTGAAGCTTCCAGGTAGTTTCTTGCCAATTTCTTGTTGGCTGCCACCAAGTTTCCTGACTTCACACTTAACAAACTCCCACTTGAATTCATAAAACAATGTTCACCTGCACTTCAATTGTGTACATGTGCCTGATGTTCCACCACTTCTAGTTACCATCAGCCTTCTTGATCATCTAGAAGACTTCGTTGAAACTCTCTTGAATTTCAACCTAGTAGTCATGGGAAGATATGCCCCTGACTCATTCTTGGTTCCTATCGGCTCCCACTGCACACGCGCACTGCTAGATCCTGGAAAATCTTGAGAACAAGCATTCTCCATACTTAGCAAGAAATTTTCAGGAGATGTTTCAAGAGCTAGAATACTAGTTCTCCGGACCTATTGTCTTCTAGAAACCTTGGCTGAAGCACCACTTGTACTCCGACTGCCACAGATATCTCTAGCTAGTTTCCTTGAACCTTTCCTCGCTCGTTAATCCTGAGGCTGACCTGTGGCTCTGGGTTTTTCTCTTGCATAGAAAACCTTCTTCTGCCCACGAGACTATGTGAACCAGACTTTGTTTCTCTTGTGAACTGTGATGGTCACTCTCTCAGACGGTAACCCGATTATGTACAGCGAACCACTCTTCATCAGGTCTAATATGAACTATTCATCCTAAAACTGCGAGTTCTTGATTCTCAATTTTCATGTATGGTGGAACCGTTATCGGTATCGCTAAGGGATTCCAGACAATTTCGGTTCAAGTTCAAGAAAGCTTTTAACCTTTTTGGGAAAAACTATATATACTCCCTTTGTCCCAAAATAATCTCTTGATTGAGTTCGGAACACATTTGAAAAGAAAAATTATTCGATTGAAAGTGATGAATATGGTGAGCCACATAAAAAATTTTGATAATAGAAATATTTGTCTACTTTTTGGATGTCTCGGATAATAAAAATTAATGCAGTGAATGTGAGGCACTACAGTACATGCACGACAGTACAGTACAATTTCTTTCTAGACTATCTCCCGTTTCCAATCATCTTCTCCGGCGAAAACTTCTCGTCGTTCTCGTTCGCCGGTGCAATGCTCTACCGCTCTAGACTCTGCACACTGCGGTTTTATCCTGGAGGAGATTGCCCACGTTTTCCAGTGCGGGAGGCGAGCAATACTACTTTAAGGAAAGCTCCGGCGACTTCGCTTTCCTTACCTCTGTTTGAGAAACTACTCCGGCGACACCCTACCATCCGACGTATCTGCTCAATGATCAAAGAACGTATCGCCCAATCCGTTTGTGTTCCTGTTTCAGTTTCATTCCGACGAGCTTCCCGAAGACTCTAATTTTCTTTGGTTTATTTCTGTTGTAAAATCTGAACATTTTATAAGTTCGGATTTATTTTATTTTATTTTATTTCCGCTATAATATTTTTAACATAAATATTTAAAAAAGGGAAGTGAACTAATTAACAAGTATTCTAAATAAAAGATGATTCATCATCATTCATACATACCCCAGCTAGAACCTGGGAAAAAATCATGTCACCATTCTT